ACTTTTCTACAACTGGCTGTGGCCCATTTACTTACTCCCCAATAATTACTTTTGTGGATTCGGACCAAATGTAACGCATAACTATCCATATTCCTGCAACTTTTATATGAGATGCCACTCCTATGGATTCACAAACATGATGCCCCCCACTCGAGGTGGGGGACAGTAAATCAATTAAAATAAGAACTGTTGCTGATATGCACTCAGACCCAAATAAAAGAGTGCATGAATTGTATACAAACAAATAGAAAATAAGTCAATAAACAGATATAATTTGGGTTATACTCAACACCATACACGGATTACCCCTAATATTTTTTATTATTTCTTCTGGTTAATTGGTCCCAAATCCAACTAAAAACTACCCATAAAAAATAATATATCACCCACACAATACATGCGCCCACTAACGCATTTGTTAAAAATTGGAGTTCACCAATTCATCGATATGCCACATAGACCAACTCTTGTGGATCCATTGTAATTGTTCCGTACCCCCCTAACCCCTCTACTTCCCACCCACTGGGCTCCATTTCTAATGACTTTGGTTTTTCCATTCGCGTCGTGAGCATCTGATTGTACTCTTCTTTCTGTAACCTTGCCGCCATTGCCCGGTCAGCCAACTCTCCACACTCTCTCGCTTTAGCTTCCGCCTCCTCTCTTAAGGCTCTCTCCATTTCCCCTGCCCTCTCTGCCTCCTGTTTATAGAATGCCTCTTCGTCCTGGGTTCGTGGTTCTGTTCGTGGTTCTGTTCGTGGTTCTGTTCGTGGTTCTGTTCGTGGTTCTGTTCGTGGTTCTGTATTGAAATGATAATGGACATCCCCCTTTATAGTAATAGTTGTTGGTTGCTGTGTAACCACCTCCTGTGCGTCTTCTGTCCTTCCTCGCCCAAAGCACCCGAAAAGATAGTTAATAAATCTTGCGATCAAAGCCGTACAAAGGACTCGCACCTTTTTGTGGCGTTTTCCCCGCCCCCCTCCCTATTGAGGTATATACGGCTTCTATGTCTGCATGTAGCAGGACTCGAACCCGCATTAGGTGATTGGAAATCACCCCTTCTGCCTGTTAAATTATACATGCTTTAATCCGGGGACACTTTCCAGTACCCCCACCGTGTTTCGACTTATCCCCCCTTGCAGCTTCACAATCATACGTGTCCTCCCCTGCCGGCCTCCCATGACACACTTATGTAGCCACTTCCATTTCACCTGAGTTCTGCCCGTACTTTAAGTCTCCACTGCTTGGCGGGAGCGACGAGCGGTTTGTACGAACGCCAGAGCTCTATTCACCGAAACGCTCTACTCCCCGATTACTTTCAAATCCTGCTTCACGCCCCCATTTCAGTGGACGCCCCGAACCTAACTCCCATTTAACCTTCCAGCTTTCTTGGCACCAACTTTGTGTATTTGCCTATAAGATTTGTAGCGCATGGGTCGCCCAGAATATATAGGCCGTAAGGACCTGACTTCATACAAGGCACCGCCGTGGTTGTATAGTTTTCCACTCGGCTGCCGATGTTGTGCCCTTTATCAAGGGCTGACGACGGCCACACGACGCCTGCCCCCCTAATACTGGTGAGGTTCAAACTCTGGTAAGGTCCCTCGCGGATCATCGCATTAAACCACACGCTCCTCTAATTGGTTGGCGAACCGTCAGATTTCTTAAATTTCAACTTTGCAATCATACTCTTCAGGCGGGACCCTCTTGCATTTACTTACATGTATACGTACGCATACATATATGGCCCATCTTTCGCGGTATGGACTACCTGGGTATCTAATCCTACTCGCTCCCCACACTTTCGTGCTTAAACGTCAGCCCCTTATGAACCAACCACAGGTTGGTTGTATCCCAGTAGCTCGCTTTCGCCTCTGGTGTACCTTCGTATATATCCGCATTTTACCGCTTCTTACTAGTTCCAGCTACCCCTATGCCTGCTCCTTGGTTTCCCTTTATGGTACTCACCACCCATCGTTACACTATTTACGCCCTTCCTTATAAAACTCAGCCCCTGTAAATAACCGCGCCTGCTGGCATACTCGTTTGACGGGCTTACACCAATGGACCCCCGAAGGGCCCCACTGGATTCGCGTTTTCCCTGTATCGTACTTTCATACATTGTACAAAATTCTCTACTGCTGCCTCTATACAGAGCCTCCCCCTTGTTTCAGTGGAATTGTGGCCTCTCGACTATGCATCTCCGGGTTTACCCTAATACACCCCCCAACTAACTAATATTACCTGTCGATAGAAACTCCCTTCTGGTATTTCACCCAACCGTAGGTTGGTAGTTTGCGTCAAAGGTTTTACTCACCTGTACAGACGTCCGGCCTCCCGACCCCCCCCATCTTAGCATGTATTACGAATGCCGCACGCTTTATATCTCACCCGAAACCTAGGGTACTGCCTGGGATCGGTCTTGAACCGGTACCCCCCCCCCACATTTCCGTGTGTCGCTCCTCCCTTCGAGCTGCCCATGCCTATTATTCGTGGGTTTTGTAGAAACTGTAGAATCACCTCACCCCCACAAGACATGTTATCCTGACCAATCGAAGAAACAACCTGAATTATTCTGGTTGTTCCTATGCTCACTCCAACCCTCCCTGGGCCCATTCGTATATCAACCCCCCGGTCAATATTACTAAAAACAGCATCATTATTCAAAATCCATACAAACCGATATGACTGTATGCCACTCCCCATGGAAAAATATATGATATCTCTAAATCAAATATCATGAAAAGAATCCCCACTAAAAAGAACCTAACCGAAAATGGTATTCTTGCCGACTCGAATGGGTCGAATCCGCACTCATATACCGATACCTTCTCACTATCCGGGTGTCGAACCCCCATCACATAAGATCCCCCGGATATAATAGTAGAAAGTACTACACTAAACAATATTAAACTCACTACCCCCATATAGTCCCCGTTCATGTGTATTTATTTACTTGTATCTTCCTAAAGAATTCAGATTGATTTGATTGGGGTGTCCCCAAATATCCCGACTGGTTTGTATGTATACATCCTGTCGCATTGGCTCATCAGGTCCGTATTCACCATGCCTATGGGTCAATACAATGGCCCCGACCATTGCCACTAATAGAATATAGCTAACTATTATGAACATATAACTATACTCTGTGTACACCACCCGGCCTATCGCCACTATATCCCCTCCGGGTTGTCCCCCTATCATTCCTCTGGAATGATTCTGTTGCGTGATATAGGCCCCTACCCATTCTCCTCCTGTGGCTGCCACCCATAAAAAACCAACCCCAACGATCATCCCCATTGGTATAATATTCACAATCGGCGTCCCCGCCTCCTCCTTCCCCTGGTCCAACATCATCATAACAAATAAAAATAAAATAGCTATCGCCCCCACATACACTATAATCATAATAAAGCCCATATACACCAGTCCTATAAAAATAAATACCGCCGATACACTTAAAAAGGCTGAAATTAGCCACAATACTGCGTATACAGGCCGCACCGCGGATATAACCTTTACCGCGGATACCACCCCCCATATCAAAAACGCCCTATGGTCCCATAGTAATGTCGTATCTCACGCATTTGGTATGTAGAGGGTATCCAAAAGTACGTCGCCCTCTACTGATACGTTCGTGAGATCCCCTGGCCCCTCCCCCGGTTTTTTCTCCAGTTTTTTCTTCAATATGCCTATCTGTATCTGGTTTTCCTTATTATCTATTTTCAATCACCCATTCTCCCTTTTTACTGCGGCTAATTCCCCGTTCAATCGTCCATTCTCCCTTTGTGATGCGGATAAATCCTCTTTCAATCACCCATTCTCCCTTTTTACTGCGGCTAATTCTCCCTTTGTTGCATGCAGATGCTTCTCCAGTTCTGCCCTCTGCTTATGTAATATTGCTAGTGTCTGGTGAAGCGGGTCTCCACCCGGTAACTCCATCCCACTTGGTCTTCTGTCGTTTGCCCCGTCCATCGCACATCCCCGAAGAGAATCGAACTCTTATCTTCAGGTTGAAAACCCGGTGTCCTTGCCATTAGACTACGGAGATATGGCATAGCCGTGGGTGTCTTGAACTCTTTCATCCTTATTCTATAGCCGCAGCGCCCATTTGTGCCGTAGACATAATTACAACTAACCCCTCATTCGGGAACACCCCCAATAAAAAAATTAATACCACCAATGGTAATAGTGCACACACCTCTCGCCGGTTCAAGTCACGAGGTAAATGCAAGTAGCGCGACGGCGTCCCAAAACATACTCTATTATACAAATATATAGAATACGTCGCGGACAGTACAATACCTGTGGACGCCATTATTCCCACAAAATAGCTGTACTCATAAGCTGCCATTAGTGAAAAAAATTCCCCTACGAAATTGCTACTTAATGGCACTGAGGCATTCGCCAATACCAACAAGAACATTATAATTGAAAAAATCGGCATTGTTATGGCCACTCCTCGATAATACCTTGTCAACCTAGTATGGTGTCGCTCGTATAGTAATGTTACTACAATAAATAATGCGGAACTAACTAACCCGTGGGACAACATTAAAAAAACAGCGGACACCCACCCTTGCAAGGTGTGGCTAAATATCCCTAAGGTCACTAACCCCATATGTGCCACTGATGAATAAGCAATTATTCTTTTCAGGTCTACTTGCCGGCAAGTCGTCAAACTCCCATATATTATGGCCAATAGACTCAAAGACATAATTAGTGGCGCAAAATATTCTGTCGCCTCTGGCAACAACGGTCATGTAAATCGTATGAATCCGTACCCCCCTAATTTCAATAAAACTCCGGCCAATATTACTGACCCTGCTACAGGCGCTTCTACGTGCGCCTGTGGTAGCCATATATGAAACGGTACTTTCGGTATTTTTATTGCTAAACTTATGAATACCCCTAAAAATACACTATTTTGCACTATTTCCCTCAACTCGCAATTACACAATGCCCTGTATTGCGTCAACCCTGTCTCACTATATACCGCAAATATCCCTAATAACATAAATACTGACCCTAAAAAGGTATAAAAAAAAAAATAATACGATGCTCTGATTTTCTCTTCCCTTGTACCCCATACCACGATTATTAAATACATCGGTATTAATACCCCCTCAAATAATATATAAAACCCCACTAAATCTAATACCGTAAACACCCCCATCAATAAAATTTCTATTAATAACAAGCACAATAAAAATTCTTTAATTAAAAATTTAATGGAATCTCAACTCACCAAGATACAAATCGGGATTAGAAATGCTGTCAAAATCAAGAAAAATAAAGATATGCCGTCCACCCCGAACACCAATGTCATACCGCCCAGTCACCCGAACTTTATTACTGATTGAAACTGCCCCCCTCCATCGAAAATCACCCATAATAGGACTGTAGTTGTTAGAATAGCCAACGATCATTTTAGCGCCACTTCTCTCAATCTATCCGCATCCTTTCTAGCAATCGAAATTAAATGCAATATCCCCCCAAAGTTCAATAAAAAAATTAATCCTAAACCCTCTGTAAACATAGGACGAACACAGGATTCGAACCCGCTTCCCACAATTTAGCAAACTGCTGCCCCCCCCCTCTCGGCCTCTTCGTCCAATCTTCGATTGGTCCTTCGCAATCCCATCAATATATCCCCTAAATACCCCCCCATTGGATTTAAAACTATAAAATATATAAAATAATAGGCGGATGCCAATTGCCCTATCAATATGTAAGGGTCCTCTACTGGTTGCCCCCCTATTCAAGTCAATATGATAAAGTCGGATATTAAAGTTCAATACAACACCCTCCCCAGGGGGTTAAAACTTAACCCCCGCACCCAGCTAAAATGTAAAAGGGGCAATAAAAACAATATTAACAGACTGGCCGCTAAGGCGGCCACCCCGCCTAATTTATTTGGTATCGATCGTAATATGGCATATGCAAATAAAAAGTACCACTCGGGTTGGATGTGCACTGGCGTAACTAATGGGTTCGCCTCCCTAAAATTCTCTGGATCGCCCAATGCATATGGGAATAAAAATGCAAACACAAATAATATTAAACTAAACACCACCAGCCCATACAAGTCCTTTAAAGCATAGTAGTGGTAAAAGGGCACTTTGTCTGAATCTGACGGGACTCCCGCCGGATTGTTCGATCCGTCCTCATGTAACGCAACCAAGTGTATCAGGGACAACCCCACTAATATAAAGGGAAATAAATAATGTAAGCTATAAAATACTTTTAATGTCGCATCTGACACACTAAATCCCCCTCAAACCCATACTACCAATTCCTCCCCTATATACACCACAGCCGACAACAAACTAGTTATCACCGTTGCTCCCCAAAACGACATTTGCCCCCAGGGTAACACATACCCCATAAAGGCCGTTCCCATCATTAGTATATATATCACCACCCCCACATTCCATACCATTCCTTTCACGTAACTCCCATAGTAAATCCCCCTCCCTATGTGCATATACACACATACAAAGAAGAATGAAGCCCCATTTAAATGCAAAGATCTTAAAAAGAATCCATACTCCACATCCCAGGTTATATGCATTATAGACGAAAAGGCTAAGTTCACATCTGCGCAATAGTGCATTGCTAAAAAAATACCCGTCACCATTTGTATTACCAAACACCCCCCCAGCAATGACCCAAAATTTCACAAGTAGCTTATATTAGATGGAGATGGCAAATCTATCAACATGTTATTCATAAAAGATATTAGCGGATTCGTTTTTCGAATAGATCTGGGCTCTACCATTCCAACTCTCATTGACTCTCCCCTTCGTTATGGTCTTTTACATCCAACCGTAATTTAATATATTCCGCTAGTCTCTGCATTTCAGATTCTAACTGTTGACGCCTTCATTAACAATCAAATGCTCTACCGCTAAGCTATTATAGATACTAGACCAATCTTTGGTTGGTTAGATTGGCCGAGACATATCAACAATGAATGCTGGAGTCGAACCAACGCTCGAAACTTTGAAGGCCCCCGGTCTGCCACTAACCTAATTCACTGCCTATTATAAACAACCGCATCTGCGTATACATTGTATTGCAGATGGTTTATATAAACTGGGGGTGCAGGACTCGAACCTACGATACTTAAATTCAAAATTTAATGCCTTGCCTGCTTGGCCAACCCCCAAGCATGGTTGTGGTTGGGGCTTTATGAACCCCACCAATACATAAAAATGTATAGAAATAATCAGACCACATCCACAAAATGTCAATACCATGCTGCCGCCTCAAACCCTAAGTGTCGACCCCGAGAGAATTGATTATATGCCAATCGTACCAAACAAACCCCCAGGAAAGTGCTCCCGATAATTACATGCGCACCATGCGCCCCGGTTGTTACAAAAAATGTAGCCCCGTATACGGAGTCCGAAATTGCAAATGGGGCTTCGTAATATTCCATTGCTTGCAACCCTGTGAATATTATCCCCAATAGTACTGTTAATGACAACCCCCTGATTGCCTCTTCTCTTTGGCCACTAATTATCGCATGATGCGCCCACGTTACCGTGGCCCCAGAACTCAATAATACTGCCGTATTCAATAATGGTACCGAAAAGGGATTTAATGGTTCAATTCCTTTCGGTGGCCACACTGCTCCGATTTCTATTGCAGGTGCTAAACTACTGTGAAAGAAAGCCCAAAAGAATGAAAAGAATAAACAAACTTCTGACACAATAAATAAAATCATACCAAGCTTTAATCCCCGCCGCACCACCTGTGTATAGCAGCCATCTACGGATCCTTCTCTTATCACATCTCTTCACCAACCCACCATTGTCCCGACTATCACTAATAAACCCAATATTAAAACTCACGGCATACTATAATGAAAATATGCTACCGCCCCCGATGTCGTAAAAAGTGCCCCACATGCCCCCACACATGGCCATGGACTCGGGTTCACTAAATGATACGGATGATATGCCACCGACGTCTGATAGGACTCGAACCCATAACGTCTTGCTTAGAAGGCAAATGCTCTACCTATTGAGCTACAGACGCTAATACATAAACATAGCTTTTGTGGTCTTTGTTTTTACAAATAGTAATCCATTGCAAGTTGATACGATTCATCTAATGCAATGCTATAGTGTCCCCTAAATATATCGTAGTCAATAAACAAAAGACATACGCCTGTATCCCGGCAACTGCCATCTCTAATAAAGTGATAAACACCATAATTAGCATAGGAAATAACCCCAGCAACGCCAGGCCCCCTACTAACATACTAAAGGCAAATCCAGATATAATAGAAAATAACAAATGGCCTGCTATTAAATTAGCAGCCAACCGCACTCCTAATGATATCGCCCGAGATACATAACTTATCGCCTCCACTACTATTAAAAACGGCGCCAATACCATCGGCGCCCCCGCTGGCATTAAGATACTCAGGAAATTACCCCCAAACCCTCAAAATCCCAACAAAGTCACCCCAATTATGATTGACAATGACATCCCAAATGTTATTATTATATGCACTGTTGGGGTAAATACATAAGGAAATACCCCCAACCCATTTAATACCACAATAAACATAAATAAACTCAAAATAAATGGAAAGTACTTCTGCCCGGGTTTCCCCAAATTATCATATACCATCCCCCTTATATTCGCATACGCCAATTCCATTATGGATTGCCAGACATTCGGTATAACCCGTTTCCCTATAAGGAATAGTAATATCACGATTAATGCCCCCATCATCATCATTCAAGAGTTGGTAAATGGGCCCACCAGGCTTACTATATTAAATTGATCAAAATATGTTGCAATCATTTTTACCACTATTTTAAGCACACATATCCCTAACAACTTCTGCGGCAGGATAACCACCGCCCCGGCCGGTAATATCCGAGGGCCCGGATACAAATGCGTGGCGCACCCCCATCATTCGTTGCCACCCCCCCAAACCTTCATTCACCACTATGGCGTAGATGCTACACAAAACTATTAGTGTCCACGTATATTGGCCTATAAAAGCTATCACATCCAACTGAGGTACAGAGCCCATTTGGACTTGAACCAAACCCAACAGATTAAAAATCCGTTGCTCTACCAGATGAGCTATAGGCCCCCTGGGTCCCGTCCTTTACGGTCCAACCGTAGGTTGGTACTTGGTTTCACCGAGTAATTTCTCGATGCGGTATTCCTATTCCGATAAAAGTGCTCCAATTCAATTAGTGTATTTCTCCATTGCCACTCCCTCTATTACAATAGGCATAAATGAATGATTTGCCCCACATATTTCTGAGCATTGCCCATAATATACTCCCGGTCTTTTAATTAAAAAGTTAGTTTGATTCAACCTCCCTGGTACCGCATCAATTTTAACTGCTAATGACGGCACCGCAAAAGAGTGTAACACATCTGCCCCCGTTACCAATACTCTTACTTGGGTGTGTATTGGCACTACCAATCTATTATCTACCTCTAATAATCTCAAATCCCCACTGTTTAAATCTGATGTTGGAATCATATATGAGTCGAATTCCACTGTGCTATTTCCATAATCCGAGTACTCATAAGATCAGTACCACTGGTGCCCCACGGCTTTAATGGTTAAAGCCGGCTCCCCGATTTCGTCCATTAAATACAACAATTTCAAAGATGGTAGGGCTATAAACATTAACACCCCTGCAGGAATTAAAGTCCAAATAATTTCTATTACCGGTGCGTCCACTAAATACATATTTGTGCTATTTGTTGTCAGCGCTCTAACTATTAACCACAGCACAAAAGATAAAATAAGAACCAGTATGTACATTATCCAATCATGAAACTGTACGATGTCCTCCATCAAATAGCACCCCGGATCTTGTAACCCCAATTGCCAGGGCTCCGGGGCATCCCCGTATCCTCAATTCCCTAACGCTTCTTTCCTTCCTTTCAGCTCCCGTATGTTCATTAAGATGTAATAGTACATGCAAGACTTGTAGGACTTGAACCTACACCTTTAGATATGCAAAACCTACGCTCAACCACTAAGCTAAAGTCCTCCCGGAGCCCTTATGCAGTCGCATATAAAAATCCCACCACAAATGATATCATCGTTAGCGCATAATGAAATATTAAACCCGATTGTAAATTGCTTATCTTTTGAGACAATCTTATACATATTTTAGACACACCCTCCGGCCCCACGATCTCCAGCAACCCCCTATCGATCACCTTGTACGTCACCTTATGGCCGAATTTAAACACATTTTTGATTACATAATGGTTTACTACATGGTTGAACTGCCAGGCGGAATTAAAAAAGGGGTATATTGGCAATCCCTGCAATCAGATCGTCCCCCTTGGTGCCACCACTACATATAAAAATAATGCCAATGAGCCCCCCAACAAACTAAATAATAATGGTATCATTTTCACACCATTGGCAACTATCGGCGACATTACATTTGATAATACAAATTCTTTACCTATATACCCTACAAATATACTACCTAATGCCAATATACATAAGGGCACGGTGATTGCTCTAGAAGACTCTCGCACATTATCTCAAGACCCTTGTCTTGCATTTGTCTCTGTCATAAATGTTAAATACACCAACCTCATTGAATAGAATGCGGTCAACAGTGCGGACACACTCCCCAATCAATATGCAAACGCTATATAATATCTCCCATATATCAACTCCAGTATCAAATCTTTAGAATAAAACCCCGTTAAATATGGGAAACCCATTAATGACATCGACCCTATCAAAATAGACACATATGTAATTGGAATCGCCCTTAGTAATCCCCCCATTTTTCGCATATCTTGTTCGTCCCCTATGGCGTGTATTGCTGAACCCGCACTTAAAAACAATAAAGCCTTAAAAAATGCATGATTCATTAGATGGAATAAACTAGTTGAGTACCCGGATATACCGCAAACCATTACCATATACCCCAATTGGCTACAAGTGGAATAGGCCACCACTTTCTTTAAATCATTTTGTACTACACCCGTTGTAGCTGCAAAAAAGGCTGTTAAAGCCCCGATAATTGTTACAACTGTTAACGCCATCGGAGATTTCTCAAACAATGGCCCAGACCTTATTATTAAATACACCCCTGCAGTTACCATTGTAGCTGCATGTATTAATGCCGACACCGGGGTTGGTCCCTCCATTGCATCCGGCAGTCATGTGTGTAATCCTAATTGTGCTGACTTCCCTACTGCCCCCATCAACAACAATAAACAGATCGCCGTCATATGCGGCGCATCCGTACCAGATAGCCCCGATAATGTTGAAAAATCCAATGTCCCAAACTCTCGATACATCAACAACATTGCCAACACCACCCCTATGTCCCCCATTCTATTCACTAACATCGCCTTCATCGCCGCCCGGTTCGCCCTTATCCTTGTTAATCAAAAATTTATAAGAAGATATGAACATACCCCTACTCCCTCCCAGCCGATAAACAATTGTAAATAATTGTCACTAGTCACCAACACAATCATTAAAAAGGTAAATAATGAAAGATATGCCATAAATCGGGGCACATGCGGGTCCCCCTTCATATACCCCGTGGAGTATATATGAACTAATAACGACACACTTGTCACCACAATCAGCATCACCGAAGATATTACATCTATCTGCAGTCCAAAGCTTACCGTTAACAATTCAAAATCAAATCATTTTCACAATTGTATATATGTCGCCGCCCCATTCAAGCACACCTCATATAATATTATACAAGACACCCCCCAACACAATATTATGCAAGTGGATGTCAATCTTCCTGCTCCCCTTGTTCCTATCTTTCTCCCCCATAATCCCGATATTATTGCACTCACCAGAGGCAATCACAACACTAGCACATACATCTCTCTTATATCTTTTATTTTATTAAACGAATCCCACCCTACCGGAATTTCTAATTCCGGTGGGGGTTTTATACGTGAACCCAAAGCCCTACGGCCGCATCATACGTTACCTGCAACAAAAAATTCGGACAAATCAATATAAATAAAACCAAATACAATGTGCTTCCTATTAATATCGATCTTTTTATATCTATCGGCCCTTCTCGCGCCAATTCCCCCTGAAAATCCGCGTATGTCATCTGAACTATCCGCACATAATATACCCCCGCCACCACCGAACTAAGCACGGCCCCTACACATATTAGATAATACCCATTCGACACCCCCGCCCATAAAATAAACCATTTACTCAAGAAACCCGACAATGGCGGCACCCCCGCAATAGACAAAAAAACTAAAGCCAGACTCCCACCTAAAATGGCATTTTTTCTAGACAAAGAATGGAAGTCTGCCACCAATCCCCTCCGCTCATTTATGGTCAATATTATACTAAACACACATACCGACATTGCCACATATATCGCCATATAGATCAAACTGGCTTGGATACTCTCCATTGTCCCCATACCTGCCCCGAATATAACAAACCCCATATGGCCAATTCCACTATAGGCCAACAATCTTTTTATTTTACTCTGATTTAAAGCCCCCAATGCCCCCCATATCATTGACATTGTCGCACTAATAAAAACTATATTAGACAAAGACCCTATTTGCACTAAAATTGCGAATACACCAATTTTCGGGACTGTGGCCAATAACGCAGTAGTGATTGTAGGGGCCCCCTCATAAACATCGGGGGCCCACATGTGAAACGGTGCCGCAGATATTTTAAATAACAATGATATTGTTATTAGGGCTTTCCCCACTCCCCCTCTGATCAATCATTGATTGATTGTTTCGGATATTGTGTTTCCCGCTAGTACACTCATTTCTCCTGATCCACCGTATATCATTGCGCACCCAAGTAAAAACAAACCGGTAGATATTGCCCCTAATACAAAATACTTCAACCCCGCCTCCGTACTGTATGCACTCTCTCTTTTTAATGCCACCAAGATGAACAGTGACAATGTTTGCAACTCCATTGCTAAATATATTGACAACCAATTCACGGACGCTATTAACAACACCGTCCCCAACCCCATCATTAGCACCAATTCTACTCCCCTTCGCTCCCCCATTAATACTATCCCTATTAACCCTATTCCTGCTATTATTTGCAATACTCATACCCACTCGTTATCCCCCACCATGTATAAGCTATCTTTAGCTTCTTTAACGAATCCGCAATAGTCCGCGGTCGCATACCCCCCTACCAATCCGCCCGTATACACTAATAATACCATCACGGACCACCTGTACATCGGCCGGTACACCCCATACAGAATCACACCCAACACCCCCCCCCCTAACATCATCTCTGAATACATATAACATAGGCAAGATTCGAACCTGCTCCCCCGGATCATGAGCCCGGTAACGTACCCTTCGTCCACTCTGCTCTGGGCTTCCCTTGGGCCGGGCCGGGTCCGAACCGACCTCCCCATAGTTATGAGCTACATGCTTTACCTTATAAGCTACCAGCCCCACCCTGTGTTGCATTTTCTGGCTCTACCTATTGTAGGTTGTACTTGGGGAAGCGGGATTCGAACCCACAACCTTCCATTCCCAAAACAGATAATCTACCGTTGATATATTCCCCACCCCCGGGTCTGATGGAAGAGAGACTCGAACTCCCGTCGGGATTTCCCCATCCGTTTACAGCGGACTGCACTACCCCCTATGCTATTCCACCCTCTTTGTTTACATGACAATTGCTCTCTCAAAGGGCCCTGTCTCCGATGAGATTTTAAGTCCGGCATACTACATGGGCCGCAGCCCAACCTCGATTTATGTGGATGGTACCTAATAGGGTAGCAGCCCGTTTACCCCGATCAAAGTCCCCGAAACTAATGTCACGAACCCCAAACTCAAGGGCAAGTAGGATTTCCACAATAGAGCCATCAATTGGTCGTACCTGACTCGCGGGAAGGTTGCTCGAATTCAAATAAATATATATACAATAACGGATGTTTTTACCCCCAATCACCCACCACCTAAAAATAAAACTGCACTCAAGGCCGACATTAAAATGATATTGGCGTATTCTGCTAAAAAGAACAACGCGAAGGACATACTTGGGTATTCCACATTGAATCCGGATACCAATTCTGACTCCCCTTCCGTTAAATCGAATGGCACTCGATTTGTTTCGGCCAAGGCGGAAACAAAGAACATCATTGCAGCTGGCCATAGTGGGGCTATGTACCACATGTAACCCTGGGCCATCACGATTTGGGTCAAATTCAACGACCCCACACACAATACTACCGATATAATTATCAACCCTATTGATACTTCATAACTAATCATTTGGGCAGCAGCCCTTATCGCCCCTAAAAAACCATATCTTGAGTTACTTGCCCATCCGGACATCAATACGGCATACACACTTATCGACGATACCGCAAAGATATATAACAAACCCTGCCCTAAATCGCTAAATACGATCCCATTGCTATATGGCATTACCCCCCATGCTATAAACGCCAAGGTCAAGGAAAAAATTGGAGACAGTCAATATAAAAATATATTAGCATGATTCGGCATAATCATTTCTTTAGTAAATAATTTCAACCCATCCGCAAATGGTTGTATTACTCCCCACACCCCCTCTATATTCGGCCCCTTTCTACTTTGAATATACCCTAATACTTTTCTTTCTGCCAATGTCAAAAATGCCACAGACACCAATAAAAGGACGACCATCGCCAACATCTTTGCCCCCATCCCGACTATCCCCCAAAACATCGGCGCCTATCGGACTTGAACCGATTGCCACATCCTGCACTATCGTGGTGTTCCTACTATTGCGCCCCAATTATACTGGAAGACCAGCCGCATAATAACCCTCGATGGAATCTAGAGATAGGATGGGAATCGAACCCACTTATCATTGTTTTCAAAACAACCGCATAACCGGTCTGCCTCCTATCCCTTGTGGTTTTGGTGTTAGGCACCAATGGGACTCGAACCCATACAGCGAAGTTTTGCAAACTACTGCAATACCGTTTTGCTACAGCACCCATGTCGGATGCCATGTACTTTCATATATGTTAGTTCATACTAAACAAAGAATGATTTAATTATATTTGTGCATTAGGATGCACAACATACCCCGGTCCCGTTGCATCCGCATCACAAACAAAAGTCAGTTCATCATACGTGTGGTATGCCGGTGGGCTCACATGCCCCCACTCTAAAGTCGGATAATAATCCATTTCCACTTTATACGCTTCCGCCCTTGTAAATGCCTCGCACACTATATACACAAACAATACCACCCCTACTATAGATATTATTGATCCTATTGAACTTATTTTATTCCAACCCGCGAAACTGTCGTGATAATCCGAGTACCGCCGAGGTAGCCCGGCTAGTCCTAAAAAATGCTGGGGAAAGAAAGTCAAATTCACCCCCACAAACATTATTCAAAAATGCATTCGCCCATACTCCTCTCTATATCTATAGCCTGTTATTTTCCCAAACCAAAAATAAAACCCTCCGAAAATTGCAAACACCGCACCCATCGATAGAACGTAATGAAAGTGCGCCACCACGTAATACGTATCATGCAAAACGATGTCTAACGAACTATTCGCCAATACAATACCAGTTAGCCCCCCAATGGTGAATAAAAACACAAACCCTATGGCCCACAACATTGGAGTGTCGAATTTCAACACCCCTCCGTATATAGTCGCCACTCAGCTAAATATTTTGATCCCCGTCGGCACTGCAATAATCATTGTTGCTGCAGTAAAATATGCCCGAGTATCCACATCCATCCCCACTGTGAACATGTGATGCGCCCACACAATAAACCCTAATACTCCTATCGATACCATGGCGTATACCATCCCTAAGTAACCGAAAATTTGTTCTTTAGCTGCGTACACTGGTATGATCTGGGAAATCATCCCAAATCCAGGTAGTATTAATATATATACCTCCGGATGCCCAAAAAATCAAAATAAATGTTGATATAATATCGGGTCCCCACCTCCAGCTGGATCAAAAAATGTAGTATTGAAATTCCTATCTGTCAATAACATTGTTATCGCCCCGGCTAACACTGGTAATGACAATAATAATAGAAAAGCCGTTACTAACACGGATCACACAAATAATGGCACCCGGTCTAATGTCATACCCGGGGCTCGCATGTTGAATATTGTTGTAATAAAATTCATTGCACCCAATATAGACGATATCCCCGCTAAATGCAAGCTAAATATCACCAAATCTACTGACCCCCCCGAATGTGCTTGTATGCTTGCCAGTGGTGGATATACTGTTCACCCCGTACCCGCCCCTTGTTCTACAAAGGCCGAACCTAATAATAAGGCTAAGGCGGGCGGCAATAACCAGAAACTTATGTTATTTAGTCGTGGAAACGCCATGTCCGGCGCCCCTATATACAACGGAACTAATCAATTCCCAAATCCCCCTATCATTACCGGCATCACCATAAAAAATATCATCACAAATGCATGTGCCGTCACTATCACATTATATAATTGGTCGTTCCCCAACATCGGCCCTGGCGCGGATAATTCCAATCTGATTAACATACTAAATGCCGTCCCTATCATCCCGGCGAACCCACCAAATAATAAGTATAATGTCCCGATGTCTTTGTGGTTTGTTGACCACAATCATCTGACATACCATGCCATTAACTCTCGGCTCCCCTCAATTGAATATATTCTACCCTCTTAAGACATTTAGCGATTTTACGTTAATGCTCCCCCGCGTTACATAGAAAGCAACCAACATAGACAGCCCGATGGCAGAATCCGCAGCTACTACCGTAATGATGGCAATCGCCCATATCACCCCCGTCATGTCATCGAATGCCGATGTAATCAATACCATTAACAACACAACACCCAAATACATCAATTCCATCGACATTAACATTATTATAAAGCTGTTTCTATTCAATATCACCCCGAGCACTCCTATTGCAAATATAAGTATCGCCCCTATATATATTACACTCATGATTACCTGGGAGGAATCGAACCCCCATACTCCGTTCCGAAGTCGGACATTTTTCCTTTAAATTACAGACAACACCAGGGGGTTTCCAAAATTAGTGTCTCCTCCTATTTCGCAGCCTTCGGCTTCACCTAGGCCCGATGCCGTCTTAGTCTCAAACGTAGGAGCTACCATCATTCTTATAATGGCCGGAACACCCTTGTGCCTGGCTTTTCCCTTTAGTTGCCTTCAGGGATTATCCTTCCCATCGTAGCTACCCTGCAAGCTCCCCTGACCACTGCCAACAGGTACACCATTGGATGGCCGCTTATACCCGATCCTTATGTACGAGGGCGCGGTTACACTCTGTGTTTACATATTGTAGATAGAAACCGACCTAGCTCACGCCGGTCTGAACTCAAATCATGTACGGTTTTAATGGACGAACAGTCCAACCCTTGGGAGCTGCTGTACCCCCAGGTTACCGCAATTCAACATCGAGGTCGCAAACATCGTCTTCGATAGTAACTCTAAAACTATATTACGCTGTTATCCCTATGGTAACTTTTATTCGTTGTTCGTTGGCCAATCCACTCTGTACCAACGGGTCACTATAGCCCACCTCCTATGGTGTCAGTTCGGTACGTCCTCCTCACTGTCTGGCTCAATTCTATTAACTCCGAGGGCCCCTGAGTCCATCCTGTCGTATGTGCCCATCTTCGATTGGCACCGGAATTTTACAAATTCCGCTGTACGCAGTTTGTCCCCAACCAATCTTTGATTGGTCTTTTTCTATTTATGGGCCCCCCCTCCACACCATCTGCTCACCTTCGATACTCTCTTGAAGGCGACCCTCCCAGTCAAACTGTCTCACTCACACTTTGTACCGCTCCATCCCGAGTGTGCCTCTTGAATGCAATTGGTCGGTTTTCATATATTCATCCAACCGATACACACCGCCAAGGCGGTGTGCGTATCCTATTTTTTTTTGTCACTCTTGCACCCATGCCACGCTCCCTCCAGATATTGGGCTTTGCTGCTCGGTCCTGTTTCGGTTTAATGCAAACGTCCAGTAAAGCTCAATAGGGTCTACTCGTCTTACAACTTGTATGTAGCATCTTCACTACAAATTCAATTTCACTGGGTTATATCTCGAGACAGCGGGACACTCGTGAAGCCTTTCATACGTGCCAACAATTAATTGGCTAGTTACTATGCTACATTATCACGGTCAGAGATACCGCGGCCGTTGAGTTGTCCTTATTCAAATAACTTTCATCATTCGAGTTCCGATCCAACCACTGGGCAGGCATCACACACCATTACTTCAGGCCCTCGGCCCTTTGCTGATGGCTAAGTTTTTGGTAAACAGTCGGCGCCCCCTCTTATCTTAATGTATCTATCTCCCTTCTCGCGAACTTACTGGAGCATTTGGCCGAGTTCCTTAAAATATATTCCCCCCACACTTTTGCCCACTTGTGTTAGGTTGGTACAGTCGCCCCCTGGCCCACGCCCAATCGATGATTGGTTGTTTCTTATGTGGCTCCAGGTTCGCCCCCGTTATTATTACAGAGGTACCCCTCGATTATATCTTAGGGGCCGTCCCACCCGATTATGATTCTCATCAAATCGGAATCCTTGGGCTGTGTTCAATGGCTTGAATCCCACTGCGGTGGGATTTCTTTAACAAATCGTTATTTACATATTTGCCCTCGTCACACACTGAAGCGTTACTCATATTCGCATCATCACGACTGATTCCGGCTCTCGCCATAATTATCAATACAGTCCGTTCGACTACCTTGGTTGATTTCTCTCCTCTTCAGAGTTTCGGGGTGAAACACAACCCACAAATGCGGGTTGTGTCCCGTTGGGTTTAACCACCTATATTTTCGGTGTCCGTTAGTCATTCAGGTGAACTTCTACGTAATCTTTCAAAGATAGCTGGTTCCAAGCCTACTTTCCCATTGTCTCTCCTTCTTCTTCCTTACATACTCAACCCATACTTCGTGCCCTTTACTTCTGATCTGGGCTGTTCCCCTCTCGACAGTCGACCTTCGCACCAACTGTCTGATTGTCACTCTTTCCCCCCGCACATTTTGCCCACATAAGTACTTAGATACCACCAACCGCAGGTTGGTGGTTGGTCGCTTGTGGTGCTTTCGTGGTTTGACTGAACACAAAGCAAATATCTGCCCTGGGCCCGATCAGTGCCCTACCATGCGGGGGTAATTTATCTTATACAGCAACACACTACTTAAATAGCTTTCGTCGAAAACCAGATATCGCCAAGTTCGATTGGCCTTTCACCACTTACCACAGGTCTTCCGAGATTTTTGCCACAACCACCGGTGCGTCCCTCCGTCTTGCCTTGCGACAAGTTTCAGACTGCCCATGATTAGATCACTTGGTTTCGGGTCGTATTTGACTCGCGCCTCGCCTGGCTCGCTTTCGCTACACCTCCGTCCATCGACTTAAGTTTGCCAAATATTTTACTCGCGAACCCATTATACAAAAGGTACAATGACTACATCTGCTCTAATGTGCAATAAATTTCCGTTTTCACCATTCTTTCAGCCTTCCCTCACGGTACTCCCTCTCTCGGTGCATTACTTTTCGCGATGTTGGATGTGTGGTTCACCCTTCTTCAAATTATTCTACTTCCCGCATATGCGGGTCTAATGACTAAACGTAGGTTACTAAGTAAATCACGGGCCTGTTACCCTCTGCGGTTTAACTTACTTTTCCACCTTGCTCCGCTTTCGCTCGCCACTACTCACGGCATCTCGCTTGATTTATCCCTTCTGGTACTAAGATGTTTCAATTCCCAGAAGCTCGGGTCCCCTCGCCCGTTTATATTTCAACCCGAACGAGCCGGCTTTTACCAGCTGGGATTAGTCTACTTACCTCCTAACCCCCTTGATTTGTCCCCTTGCTTAATGCCCTAGCCATCCCTCTATTGCACTTTTTCACTAATTTGGGGTAATTCCCCTTCCATCTCACT